TTTAAAAGAAAAAACATTGAATAGGAAAAGTGTTTTTCGAGATATTGAGGAAAAAAGTTTTACCGTTCAAAGTGGAAGATCTCCGAAACTAATGGCTAGATTTTGCTGAGATTTAATACCAAACTTCGTTATCGTAAGACATAAAATCCTATCAGAATAAAAATCTTCATCTCAATCATTTTTCAAGTTGGAGTGTCAGAATAAAACTATATTGCGTCCTGTGAAATGACCTTTTCCAGATTATATGAAATAGTCATCACGACAATGATTTCGCTACAACAAAAAAATTGGAAAATGTTGAATGATTAAGGGAGGACACTACTGAAATAGCCGCGTTGTTCACTTTTGTTAAATTAACTTAGACAACATGTTTTTTTTTTTACCAAGAACGAAATTGAGGATAAAGGGAAAAATTAAATACAACCTATAAATCGTCTTATGGGCGACTACCTGCTTAAAATTCAAAGAGTAGCTAATAGGTTCACCCTTTCAATAGCATTCCAATTTTTAATGATAATTTTGACGCTATTCGTTTCGTTTTTTTGTCACTTCTCAGTAAATTCGTAAATTTTTCAATAAATTTGCGTTTAAATTGTTTTTTTAAATTAATTCTCAAAATTAAGAACTTTTATAAACTCAGATACAATCCAATATCCACTCTGATTTACAAACGCCTAAAATTTGAGGCAAGAGTATCTTAACTTTGATCGAAATTATATTCACTCAATATCACTCAATATCTTTTTTGTGACTTCAAATGTCTGCGTTCAATTATGTTCTTTGTTTCTCCATGTTCTTTAAGCCCCAATAAAACCTCCTGTTCAGTGGAAAACCTCTACCTACGCGAATAAGGAAACATTTTCATGGGGAGGAGTTAAATAGGAAATTCCAGCTTTAAACACAGCACGGCCTATTCAAACGGCTCACGCAATATCTCTTTTGTGACTTCAAATTTCTGCGTTAAATTATGGTCTTTCTTTCTTCGTGTTTTTTAAGGCCCTATAGAACCTCCTGTTCAGTGGAAACTTCACTAACCTCGCGGATAAGGGAGGGTTAGTTTTCGAGATATGATTCGCTGAAAACTGTAAAATCAGAAGACAGTAGTCAACTGTCTCCCCGTTTTTTTTCCATTCTTTTATTTTCCACCTGAATTCTATGTGAATTGGAAATTTAACTTTCTGATTCGGTTGTTGGCAAGGGAGGCCTATGGTGGCGCATCGGTTCCAGTCTTACGGTGACATTGTCTCGAGTTTCGATATCGAGATCGACATCCTTTCTCCTTTTTGACGATAGGATTCATTTTGATAAATATTTTATTTATGTCGCAATAAATAAAATTCATATCATTAAATTTGATGTTCAGATTTATGAAATATGCGGGATTAACGTTCACGCTGACGTTAAAGTTGCATTAACGAAAAACGCACGGGGTGAAATAAAAACCAGAAATATATGTCAATTATATCCGGAAATATGTCGCATAAAAAATCTTCGATCCGAAAAATCGGATCGAAGCGATGTAAAATAACCATTAAAAAAAAAATTCTAGTTTCTGTATTCAATGATTGTGCAATTTCCATTTCAGATGTCCATGATGCTGGAACCCCACAATTTTTTTTGCGCTATTTATCGCTTCGACACAAAAAAACATGAACTTTGCTTGTCGAAGGACCTTTACGTAGACACGGGAGGAGGGAGACTGAAGCAAGTTGGGGGTGGCAAGACCCTTAAGAAATTGAAACAAAGCAATGCAAGTTGTCGACTTATTAACGATAAGGGGGAGGCAATTGCTCGTGCAACCATCTTAGAGTTCTCGCAAGATCAAAGTATGATCGATACGTATTTAAAACCAACAAAAAGGTTGCGTATTCCACCCAGATTGAGTACTGGTCCAATCGAGGGGAAAATAAAATTATCTGCTAAGGAATCTGGAGACTCTACGAAGGAACAAAAAAATCGAATACATCAGGAAGCTTTGCGTAAAGGCGATGAGCGAGTTCATTCAAAAATAGCTAAATTTCGATCTAACGTTCAAGACAAGAGAGAGAGTTCAGAATTTGATGAAAATGAGGCATCTGAAGAAGATGAAGATAAGGATAAAGTTGATGAAAATGATGATAAAACGGATCAGCCAGAGGAAACAGAATCGGAAGAACTAGATGATAGAGAGGATGACGAAGAAGAAGAGGGGGAAAAGAAGGATGCTGAAAGAGAGGGAAAGGGAGAAGAAGAAAGCGATGAAAAGGAAGTAAAAGTTAGTGGTCGAGCCAAGAAACGAGAGAGGAAGCATCGTGCTCATGAAGTTGGAAAGTTTGTTCGCGCTCCCCAACAAGTACGTTTACTCTATATGACCCAATTCATCAATATTTATGGATAGCAAAGGAGATTTCAGTAGTAAAGTGGTGAAAGAAGATAACTCCATTGTTTCAAAAATTCTCAATATTACTATTATCACTTCCAGATTAATGTAGAAATATGATTCATGCAAAAAAAATAATTTCGAAAGGAATGGACTTATCTCCTTTTACCACTTCGCTACTGATTTGTCAATAAATGACGCTTAATGAATGATGATTAATGAATGAGCTTTTGAATGAAGCATTTTTAATAGAGGGGAGTGAACAGGTGTTGACGTTTCTGTTTAAAAATTGCCTAATCATATTAAATAATTAGATACTCTTAAAAAAAAAATCAGGTAGTTCACGATTAGCAACTTCCTGGATTTTTTCGAAGGGAAACCTTTAAACGTTTCCTAAAATTTTCTCCTTTCGAATAGCATTTTTTCAAAGATTACACTAGATTGATACTTGAATCCCATCACAGACTATTTCAATTTTTATTTGTTGTTCATTATGGGGGTGAATTCGCCAATTATTGGCATGGTTTTGTACTCTCGAAATTTTAATTTTGTAAAGGCTTCTCAGATATCTCTCTCATCAGCCAAAAGACCTAACAAATTTTTGTTCAATTTTTTGTCAGTTTCTTCATGCTCACTACGTCAATTTTCTTGTTTTTGGAGTTTTTAAAGAAATTTTCTATTTCAGCAGGGGTAGTTTTTAAAATATTAGTTTTGGATATATATTCCCGGCGGAAATTTTTCATGCTTTCGATTCAGAATAATTTCAATTGTCTCAGACCATCCGAACTGCCCTAAAAGCGCAGACAAGTTTCGCAACTTCGATTATAAATTTTTTTTTCCTCACTTGAAGTGGCTCTTTTGATAAACCATAATAAAAAATCAATGCGGGACTCCAATCCGTTCCTTCTAGGAACAATTTTTGAGAAAAAAAATTCTTAATTTTTTTAATTGAAAAATTTTCAATTTCAAAACTATTGAGTTTCTCTGTTTTAGTCTATGCCAATCTATAAATGATCCACTTTCCGTGAATTTGAAATTGAAAAATTGCCAAGAATTTTTTAAAAATCATTCTTCGATAGGAGGGACCGGAGTCCCACTTTGATTTTTTCCTAGGTTTTGTAGAAAATTTCACTGAAAACTCCCAAAACAATAAAACTGACGCAGTGAGCGAGAAAGAACTGAAAAAAATAATCGGCGAATTCACCCATGGAATATGCTCTTTGGTCATCAACTCCTCTGCGGGGAATTTAATCAACATTATCAATCTATTTTGATAGGCAATTTTTTGGAACAGTCTCGGCTGACCAAAATATAGAACATGAACTTTTTCTGCATTACATTAGTCTTATATCTTCCCGATGATAGGACGATTTGCTGTTGGAAATTGCATCATTATTTGAGCTACCCAAATATCATTGTCGCATCTGTGTATTTCAATCCCTGACGTATATCTGTTGTTTCGTTACATTGACTTTTTTTAGATTCAAATATGGTATATGCGCAGGTCCGTCGCATTCTTTGAAAAAAAAGAAAGGTTGGAAGATCTCAGAAACTTTGTACCGACGGCTATATAGGTTTTGATTGATCTAGATAGAGGCTATCAAGACGAACATTTTGAAAAAAAAAAAAAAGTTGAATCGGCCCACTAGTTTTGCAAATATTTGCAAAAAACTTTGAAAAAAAGAAATCGCTCTTTCTCGGAAACTATTGGACCGATCGAGTGGACCCTGCGGCCAGAGTTAGTCCCACTGAAGACCTCAAATGCGACAAAATTTCAGATTTTTTGGAATTTGTTTTTGATTGTGTTGATGATTCGGTTCTGCCATTTCACAATTGATATTCTTTAATAATTTTTTTTTCATTTTTCTTTTCCGTATACCCTTTCGGGTTTTTACGATATGTTCCCATCCCACCCCCGCCCCCTGTATCGCATTCGCATAGGAACAAGGGAAAACCTCATTTGAGGGGTAAACCTGCCCAGGTACAGTTGTCTCTTTGACGAGCCTACCGCTCAACAATGAAACTGTGAGATTAGAGCCCTATAAATTTTGACCCCCGTCGCCGGGATTCGAACCCGCACTCAAACCGCACGGCCACTGCCGTCGGTGATATTCTTTAATATTAGTGCGTATTAATCATTCAACAACCTCATTAATTTATTCTTCTTCTAATTACGAGAGTGAAGACGAGGATATTACTGACGAGTACGATGATGCTCTAAAGTCACCATTACCTCGATCTCACGAGACACGTCACCGCAGGGAATCCAAGATTAAGACCTCCTTGCGAGCTTCAGTGCGAAATAAATTAGAAAAGAAAGAAGACAAAGTAAGTTTTTTAATGGTGTTTACCCTATAACTAAGCTTTTCGCCATTATCCTGGCATAGCGTGCGAGTCTCTTTCTCTCATTCCTGCGCCAAGGAAGCGAGTGAAAGCAATAATCACGTTGAAGGTTCACTAATTTCCTGCAAGAAAATATTTTAGGAATTCCTCAAGTTTTGATAATTTTTATAAATACTGTGGAAGTATTGGGATTGGAGAGTATTGAATTCAAAGTTGAAATTCTATTCACTTTTTTATACGGCTTCAAATATACTTACAGGAAAATTTTGTTATTTTATTGGACCAGATAAACCGCGAGTGTAACATAACGCAGTTCCTCGAGAATTACAAAGCAAATTCGTCCGAAAATAATTACAGGATTTGATGATGAATCCTTGGTGATCGTAACATTTTATTGCACCATTTTTTGATAGAATGCGCAAAACACTCATTGAATGTTGAAAAAATCGACGGAACAAGCCTCAGTTACGAACATAACAGGACAAGAGAAGAAATCATTAAATTTTCCATTTCATTTGGTAAAGGGTACCTCGGTGAAATTAGAAAGTCTTCGGTTGATGGAAATAGATTTGATAGACTCTTGATAAACAATGGGTTACCTGGAGAAATAAGAAACATTTTGGATCCAACCCATTTTCCCCGTATGTCATGCAAAAACATTGTTTTAGTAATTTTCGATTTGAAATGCTCCCCACATTACGAAATGTATCCAATCTTAACTTTGATTTCGAAATATTGATTAGATTCTATAGAATACAAGTTAGTATCATCTATTGAGTATCTCATTTGGATCGTTCTCCCACTCATATTACTAGTTTTCTCACCAACTGTCAGTTAATAATTGGCTAAACAGATGGAAAAATCATTCAAATAGTTGGACCGTCGATGAAGATATAATTTTGTGTTCCTAAATATGTTTTGATACTGTTTCATCACAAAATAGAGTACTCACAATGTCTACAATGTTAGAAATTTCCTGAAAATTCAGTGATAACTTCACTTGAATTTTCAGTTAAATTTTGAATTATCAAGTTAAATTTTCCGGATTATTCTCCCCAGCTGAATTGCCACCCAATAGAAATGCAGTATTTGACGTTTTGCGGTAGAGTGGGGTAGAATTATTTCGATAATTTTTCGGTTATTCCCAATTCGTTGCATTGCAACCAGAATTGTTAATAAACAAAAGATAATCCGCGTGAAGTCGGTACTAACCTGTTCAAGTTCATGTGAACGAAACTCAAATGTCAAAATGAATAGATTCGGAGGAGATACTCTGGATGTTATTGACCGAAATATTGACAGAAATATACCATGGAATACGGTGAAGTCTGAGAGTGTAGCATGGAATCAGTTTTCTGCATTTTGCACTGCGAGAAAATATGTTTTGGATGACGATACTTCCACGAAAAAAATTGCTGATATATTGAAGGAGTGGACACATAATTTGAAAAAAAAATTATAGTTGTTTTTCCCGCAAAAACCTCAAATTATGCATTCCTGTTGCATGGCAATTCAGCTGGGGGAAATAATTCAGCCGAATGCCCCTCGTGCTTCAAAATTGTCTAAAATTTTCCTCTGGTTTTCCTGCATATCAACGAGTCGGGCAAGTTTGGCAAAAAACCCCTCGCGCTTCGCGCTCGGGATTTTTAACTGACAAACTTGCCCTCCTCGTTGCTATGCAACAAAACAATCGGAAAATTTTCGATAATTTTGAAGCACTGCGGACATTACGACTGAAAATTCATTATTCAGCGCGAAAATCCAGAAAATTTGGGAATTTTTATGTTAAATCAACATCGAAATTTCAGTGATTCCTTGAAATTTCAGTTGACGTCTTGAATTTCTGAACTCATTGCCAAAATTAGACATTATTTTTATTGAATTTTCAGTTATTTGAAAATTCAAGCAATTATTTTCAGAATTTTCAGTATTTTCGTTAATTCTCATGATGAAATGGGCCTGAAAATTAGAACTTTCCTGAATATTCTAGAATTTCACTGAATTTTCAGGGACAAAATTCCTTCGATTTCCATATAAAGCAAGTGAAATTCCAGAATTCAACTGAATTTTCAGTGACAAAATAACTTGGAATTTCATATGAAACAGTGAATGAAAAAAATTACAGGAATATTTTCCTGAAATTTCAGGTGTAATTTTTGGACAGTGTAGATTATTTGGGATGTAACCTCTCTGTACCATTCCAATCGAGAGACGAGGATAGGGGCATGTGTCAAACGACAACAAGTTAGGGACAACCGAGGCATACCGGGGGTAACCGAGCATAGGGACAGTGAATTTTCCGCTTTTATCCATGATTATTTATTATACAATGCTCATCATTATGGCTGATATTATTCAATACTTCGATATCTAATTCAAAACATCTATCTCATTTTGATAGAAATATTTAAATAATGATGGTTTCACCTCAACGACACGGGCGCAGGAGCATTTAACTTATACATTACCGAGAAATTCTCTACCGACGGGGAATTTGAGCAAATTTGTCGGGGAAAATCAAGAAAAAGTTGGGGAATTTTTATAGAAAATTTATAACTGGATACCCTACCTAAGTTTTAGACAGAATTTCACTTGCATAAAGTAGGTAGGCGGCGGAATGGATTTCAAAGCAATCAAAGTATCGGAATGAAATACAGAAGATGCCCGGTAGCTACGAGACATACACCGCCATATATAATCTTCACATAAATTCCCAGGTTTTCTAGGAAAGTTACCTAAATTCTCTAGTTTTCATAGGAAGCTGAGCAAAATCCTCCGACTTCATAAGATCAGAACCGAATCAAGGCAATCCTGCAGTTTTCTCAAAAATTTTGGGAAATTTTTCCATTGAGGAAAACATTCAAGGGAACTGCCTCGTTTTTTTAAAGAATTCAATAAATAGACAAAAATGATCACGGAAAGGGCCCCCATTTTTCTGAGGGCCTTAGCCGTAAACATAAATTTGTCAATTAATTTTTTGTACGACTGCAATGAATGCACAAATTTTCCCGTTCTGAATTGGTTTTGTGGTTATTTTGTGGTGGATGAACATATTTGGTATTCAAGTTATAGGTCATATTTTGATAGAGATGAGTGAAGAGAATAACGTCAACTATTCTTTTCGAACTAATACTAATGACAGTTTTGCAAGTTGCGTCTTTTTTTAATTCTCATCAAGATACGTGAAATCTTGACGTCGAATATAGATACGTGATTTATGGAAAAAAGGATTGAGATACGTTCTCTTAAATCGAGAATCTGGGTTACTCTTTCTCTGGTGATTTCCCTGAGACACTTTTTTCACATGAAGGGACGTTGAGTTAGAAATTCGTGTTTTTCCAGTTGGATTCAATTTTTAACATTTTGTAACAACCTTAAACTCTGCTTGTAGCGAACCTACCCGAAACGTTCCCCGATGGCCCGAGATGTGTTGGAGCACTACCAGAAAAAACTTGTAAAAAAAACCCCGTCAAAATCGAACGACATAGACTCGAGCTCCTCGAGTGAGGACGAGGCGCCCCCAAAACCCCGAATTAACGGGACGACAAAACTCCAGAAGAAGAAGGCCGTCTCCTCAGACTCCGACACAAACAACCACTCTAACTCTTCAGAGAAAAACTACTCGCAGGGAAAATCAACAGCTGCAGCGAAGCATGCAACCAGATTAACACTCAACGACTCTCCTGCGAGCTCCTCAGACGAATAGAAAAACTCCAAGCCCATTGTCTCATCTACAGCAAGATCGCCAGCTGCTAAAGTCCCGGCGAAGAAACTAGAGTCTTCGAGTGACACATCAGACTCTGATGAAGACTCCAAGGCGAAAGCTGGCACTAAACCTCAAACGAAACTGCAGGTGAAATCCCAGATGAAGAAACAACAGAAGTCAGTAGAGCATGGTTCTTCAGAGGATGAGGAAGTCGTCAAGAATGCTCCGAAGGGTGTGACTGCCAAGGCTAAAACGAAGGTTTGAGCTACTGTCCAGTATTATTCCCTTGTAGTTCCTTGTTGAACCTCGGATTATTTTTATAATGAGTGAACTTAGACGCAAATATCAAAATATGTTAAATTCACAATTTCCATTCATAAAGGCATATTTTGGAAGATTCAGGGTGTCCAGCCGACAGGGAAAGCTGGAAAATCGAGAATTGCCCATAAATTCAATTGATCTAGAAAACTCAGGAACATGCTCAAAAATTACGCAAGCTTTTTCTAATTCTTTGCTTGAATTTTCATTCCCCTAATTAATCAAAAGGAAATTTTTACTAGGTGATCAATCAAAACAATACGTTGCCACCTCCAGTTAATATAGAATGTTTTTACCTACGTACTTCACTTATTCGTGAATTCTCAAATGTACTATATGGATAATTCTACCAAATATCACTGGGCAAATTCAGTCTTTAAATTGATTATATTTTTTTTTTGTTTCTTTGCATTACTGATGACTAGAATAGAGGACTCTCCGTCTGGTGTGCTCTCTATTAATTAAAAAATTGATAGAAAACATTCAATGAAAGGAGAAATACCAGGGTCGCAGAAAAAATCGGTTTTGGTGAAAATTCACATTTTAACATTCCTGTTCCCATTTTCTCAATAAAGGAGGGATAAAAGATCAAATGAGTATCATTTACGTTTAACTCATTGCGGCACGAAGATCACGAGGAGTATCGATGTGAGAAGAGTGGGGGGTCCGGCAGAGTATTGGTGCGCCATAAGGAAAGCACGGCAGCGCACGCACACCACCACATTACGGAGCGTGTGTGTGCTACCGTAGGAAAACGTTTCGTGCCGCAATGGGTTAAGGATAATAAGTTCAACATGACAAAGAACGAATTCGATTAACTAGGCATATCAATCAATTGAATGGACTAGAATGAATATGAAGCAAAAATTTGATACTGTCGAGAATGTTTCTACCATTAGGGTATTTGATTAATTTTGTCAAGAAAAATCAAAGAAAAGTCAGGGAATTTGTAGGGAATTTCTAACTAGATACCCTGCCTAACTTTTAGACAAAATTATAGATTCTTACTGAAAGTTACACTCCGATTTGTAGAAAAATTCGTCGATGTTCTATTAAATTCTGTGATTTTCCAGGAGAGTCGAAAAAAATTTCTAGTTTTAATAGAAAACTCAACAAATTCCTCCAATTTCATAAAATTAGAAGATAATCGAGGAAATTCTCTTTTTTTTCCCTTACTATTCGTTACTTTCTGCCTTCCTTATTGTGTAACTGACCCTATTCCAACCCTATGCATGCGGCTGTGGATCCTACACTGCACCATATTGTACTCTCTTATAGAACATAGAAGTGACCTGGAAAACTGCAGAAAAACCCTGTCGATATCGGCGGTTGTTCTATTAGTAAACTGCCGCTCACCAGTGAAAGTTGAAAAATTCGGTTCCACGGGGAATCGAACTCACAACCTTGAGACCACTAGGCGAACGCCTTGTCACTACGCCACCGACGTCTGTAAAATGCTCTAGTTCTCTTGAAAATTCGAAAAAATTCATTGAATTGAAAATCCTATCAATTTTCCTGATTCATTTATAAAGAATTCGAGGAATAGCCAGAAATTAATCCAGAAAAGGTTGCTATTTTTTCTATAGGCTTTACATTCGGAGATATTCATAGGAAATTGGTCCTTTCAAATTCGCCGTAGACCCGACTTTGTATATTTATGTTTGATACAACTCTAACTATTGCAAAAATTTTCACGTTCTGGATTGATTTTGTGGTTATTATGTGGTGGATGAAGATCGTGATGATGTAAGAAATGGTGACAAGGTTTTGGTGACATTTTTTTCACTTGAGGATGATAGGGCGAGATAGAGGAAATCATAAAAATGCAACGACCTTCATGGATTTTTTTCAGTACGTTAATGAATCAATCAAGAAACGATGTGCAAAAATTTAGATAGCCTAGATACAGGGCAACAACAAAAATAAATCCTTAAGGTAATACTCATACACGAGATTACATAGAGCATCGATAAGTTCAGCTGTTTTCCTACATTGCTGACTAGTCGATCATGAAGGAAAAATGCAAAAATTACCGATGCCCTATTCAACATCATGCATGCGTAGCAATTTCAGGATTTATTTTTGTTGTTACCATGTACCTAGGCCGTCTGAAATTTCGCACATCGTTTCTGAATTGATTCATTATCGAACTAAAAAAAATCCATAGAATTGGTTGCATTTTTATGATTTCCTCCACCTCGCCCGAACATCCTTAAAGGTACGCCGAATTAGTAATTCGTTTCCTTCTAATTGAATTAAATTTTGAACATCTTCACACAAGAATCTTGATTTCTGCTTACAGCCGACTCTACCGAAAGGTTGCCCAGTAATCCGCGATATGATGGAGCACCACCAGAAAGAAGTCGTGATAAAACCCTCGTTAAAACCTACCGAGTTAGACTCGAGCTCCTCGAGCAAGGATGAGGCGTCCCCAAAACCCCAAATAAATGGAACGACAAAACCTACGAAGAAGTCAGCCGCCTCCTCAGACTCCGACTCATCCTCCCAGTCCTCAGCGAAATCGACAACACTCACAAACAATAACTTCAACTCTTTAGACGAAAATTCCTCGCAGGGAAAATCAACAGTATTAACCCTCAACGACTCTTCTACGAGCTCCTCAGAGGAAGAGAAAAACTCCAAGCCCATTGGCTCATCTAGAACAAGACCGCCGGCTGCTAAAGCCTCAGCGAAGAAACTAGAGTCCTCGAGTGACACATCAGACTCTGATGAAGACTCCAAGGCGAAAGCTGGCACTAAAACTCAAACAAAACTGCAGGTGAAATCCCAGATGGAGAAACAACAGAAGTCAGTAGAGGATGGTTCTTCAGAGGATGAGGAAGTCGCCAAGAATGCTCCGAAGGGTGTGACTGCCAATGATAAAACGAAGGTTTGAGCTACTGCCCAGTATTATTCCCTTGTAGTCCTTGTTGAATCTTGGATTATTTTTATAATGAGTAAACTTAGACGCAAATATCAAAATATGTTAAATTCACAATTTCCATTTCTAAAGGCATCTTTTGGAAGATTTAGGGTGTCCAGCCGACAGGGAAAGCTGGAAAACCGAGAATTGCCCATAAATTTAATCGATCTAGAAAACTCAGGAACATGCTCAAAAATTACGCAAGCTTTTTCGAATTCTTTGCTTGAATTTTCATTCCCCTAATTAATCAAAAGAAAATTTTGACTAGGTGATCAATCAAAACAACACGTTGCCACCTCCAGTTAATATAGAATGTTTCTACCTACGTATTTCACTTATTCGTGAATTCTCAAATGTACTATATGGATAATTCTACCAAATATCAGTGGGCGAATTCAGTCTTTAAATTTATTATACTTTTTTTTTGTGTTTCTTTGCACTACTGATGACTAGAATAGAGGACTCTTCATCTGGTGTGCCCTCTATTAATAAAAAAATTGATAGAAAATATTTAATGAACGAAGAAATACCAGGGTCACAGAAAAAATCAGTTTTGGTGAAAATTAACATTTTAACATTCCTGTTCCCATTTTCTCAATAAAGGAGGGATAAAAGATCAAATAAGTATCATTTTACGTTTAAGGATAATAAGTTCAACATGACAAAGAACAAATTCGATTAACTAGGCATATCAATCAATTGAATGGACTGGGATGAATATGAAGCAAAAATTTGATACTGTCGAGAATGTTTCTACCATTAGAGTATTTGATTAATTTTGTCAAGAAAAATAAAAAAAAAGTCAGGGAATCTGTAGGGAATTTCTAAATAGATACCCTGTCTAAGTTTTAGACAAAATTATAGATTCTTACTGAAAGTTACACTCCGATTTGTAGAAAAATTCGTCGATGTTCTATTAAATTCTGTGATTTTCAAGGAGAGTCGAAAAAAATTTCTGGTTTTAATAGAAAACTCAAGAAATTCCTCCAATTTCATAAAATTAGAAGAAAAACGAGGAAATTCTCTTTTTTTCCCGTAATATTCGTTACTTTCTGCCCTCCTTATTGTCTAACTGACCCTATTCCAACCCTATGCATGCGGCTTTGGATCCTACACTGCACCATATTGCACTCTCTTATAGAACATAGGAGTGCCATGGAAAACTGCAGAAAAACCCTGTCGATATCGGCGGTTGCTCTATTAGCAAACTGCCGCTCACCAGTGAAAGTTGAAAAATTCGGTTCCACGGGGAATCGAACTCACAACCTTGAGACCACTAGGCGAGGGCCTTGTCACTACGCCACCGACGTCTGCAAAATGCTCTAGTTCTCTTGAAATTCATTGAATTGAAAATCCTATCAATTTTCCTGGTTCATTTATAAAGAATTCAAGGAATAGGCAGAAATGAATCCAGAAAAGGTTGCTATTTTTTCTATAGGCTTTACATTCGGAGATATCCATAGGAAATTGGTCCTTTCAAAATCGCTGTAGACCCGACTTTGTATATTTATGTTTGATACAACTCTAACCATTGCAAAAATTTTCACGTTCCGGATTGATTTTGTGGTTATTATATGGTGGATGAAGATCGTGATGATGTAAGAAATGGTGACAAGGTTTTGGTGACACTTTTTTCACTTAAGGATGGTAGGGCGAAATAGAGGAAATCATCAAAAAGCAACCACCTCCATGGATTTTTTTCAGTACGTTAATGAATCAATCAAGAAACGATGTGCAAAATTTCAGATAGCCTAGATACAGGGCAACAACAAAAATAGAGCATCGATAAGTTCAGCTGTTTTCCTACATTGCTGACTAGTCGATCATGAAGGAAAAATGCAAAAATTACCGATGCCCTATTCAACCTCATGCATGCGTAGCAATTTCAGGATTTATTTTTGTTGTTACCATGTATGTAGGCCATCTGAAATTTTGCAAATCGTTTCTGAATTGATTCATTATCGAACTAAAAAAAATCCATAGAATTGGTTGCATTTTTATGATTTCCTCCACCTCGCCCGAACATCCTTTAAGGGACGCCGAATTAGTAATTCATTTTCTTCTAATTGAATTAAATTTTGAACATCTTCACATAAGAATCTTGATCTCTGCTTACAGCCGACTCTACCGAAAGGTCGCCCAGTGATCCGCGATGTGATGGAGCACCACCAGAAAGTAGTCGTGATAAAACCCCAGTTAAAACCTACCGAGTTAGACTCGAGCTTCTCGAGCAAGCATAAGGCGTCCCCAAAACCCCAAATAAACGGAACGACAAAACCTACGAAGAAGTCAGCCGCCTCCTCAGACTCTGACTCATTCTCCCAATCCTCAGCGAAATCGACAGCACTCACAAACAATAACTCCAAGTCTTCAGACGAAAATTCCTTGCAGGGAAAATCAACAGCTTCAGCGAAGGATACAACCGTATTAACCCTCAACGACTCTTCTGCGAGCTCTTCAGAGGAAGAGAAAAACTCCAAGCCCATTGCCTCATCTACAGCAAGATCGCCAGCTGCTAAAGTCCCAGCGAAGAAACTAGAGTCTTCGAGTGACACATCAGACTCTGATGAAGACTCCAAGGCGAAAGCTGGCACTAAACCTCAAACGAAACTGCAGGTGAAATCCCAGATGGAGAAACAACAGAAGTCAGTAGAGGATGGTTCTTCAGAGGATGAGGAAGTCGTTAAGAATGCTCCGGAGGATGTAGCTGCTAAGGCTAAAATGAAGGTTTGTGCTGCCATCCAATATTATCCCTTTGCAGTCCTTATTGAATCTCGGATTATTTTCATAATGAGTGAATTTAAACGGAAATATCAAATTCTGTTTAAGGGGTGACCCTACTGAAATCTAAAAGTTCACCATTAAAAAAATGAGATTTATGTGAACTTTTTAATTCTTACATACACTTCAACAGATATCAACTGATCCACATTTAAGATGATCCGTTAACTAGATTTTACCTTCTGATTTTTGAAAGCAAAAATCGGTTTTTTGCGTATTTTGAAAATTTCCGTCATTTTGGATCGGGTCCGGTGGGTTAGTTGACATTTTTTAAAGTGTAAATACTGATAGAAAAGTTATCATGAATCTCATTTTGTATGCATGGCATATGTAAGGACATTTATGCATAATTCAGGATGTCGAGTCGTCAAGGACAGCTGGAAAACCGGGACTGTGACTCCCCAAATAGATCACAATTGGAATAGTTTCCCTAAAAATTCTGAACATTGCACTTAATGTTGGCGATTCAATTATTTCATCGGGTATCGATAACAAAAACTAAACCAAAATTGGAATTCGATTCACAGAACGATGTCAGTGCCAGCGTCACTGTTGATGTTTATGATTTCCTGCCTTCACCGCCAGCCACTGAAACCGAAACGGTCCCCCACGATGATCAAGTCCATGATGATTCCTCCTCTTCAGAAGACAACGATGTCATAAGGAAATCAAATTATGTAAGTTTTAATGATTCATCATTGATTATGAACGATCGATGTCCTTTATCAACATCACCCAGTCCTTTTCGTTTGTATGCTTATTCGATGGAAATTTAATATCAAGACAATCAATTTCTTTTATAAATACCAGTTGAAAGAAAAACAGCGCTTAGAACGTTCGACGAACAGACGAAAAATCAATTCAAGAAGTGCACTCGTCACCGGACAAATACGAAAAGGTATGCCCATCAATATTTTTTGAAGCAGAGAGGTAAGTGAGATTCAAAATTCTTC